ACATCTATAATCATTTGCTCTGATGCTACTACAGCACTACGAGCAGTTAAAGTAGGTTAACGGGCAAAAAGCTTGCAAATATTTAACCCCTGAGAAATATTGCATTGCAAATATAGAATGGCCTTTTCTAATCACACAATCAACATATCCACCAGTCTGGTATGAGATACTTTTGCAAATCTCAACTTTCACTTTAGAGAAAAGAGAAAAAGTTTCTAATTTTTTTACTTATGGCATCAGAATAGGGGAGAATGAACCCAGCATTATTTGAACGATTTTGTTCACTACAAAGTATGCTTGTTAGAGTTTCCAATATCATAGCTAATAAAATGCTTTGTGTGGAAAGTTTTTCTCTTTAGTAATTAATCTTCACTGTGCTTATACTTGCTTTTTTCTAAACTGATTTGTTTATAGGACAAAAAAGTGACAAAACAAGTGAAGAAATATGGGGATTTCATGAGTGCATTTTAAATGCTTAGTAAAATTCCAGAAATGATGTAGGGTGATTATATTCTGAAAATCTCTTACGGAAATATTGTATGCGGTTAATATTACAGCTTAGACAACCAACACTTGCACCTTCATTTTTTTTAATGATGTGTCTGTAATGGTATGTGGAAATGACCTTGGGGGACAGAGGGAAGGACGGCAGCCAGGGCCAGGGTCAAATAAGATGCAGTTTAGCCCACAGCACAAATGTAGGCATTGCAAATATCTCAGAATGGATCTTCCCTAGTCTCTGTAAAAGTGACCGTGAGAAAGGATGGAAAAAACTTGCAAGATTCTGTTCCTGTAATCTTGCTAGAATTCATTCATCTCAGTGTCTTCCCTGGACTACTTCACTAGACTGATATTAATGGGGCAATACGCTTGTACTCTTCCAAAGAGAGGAAGAAGATCCTCCTGACAATTTTCTAGACAGCCTCTTTTCCAGCTTGGCTGTGGCTCTTCCCTGTCTCCCAAGGTCATTTCCACATGCTACAGCATCAAGTCTGAGCCTGTAGGGTGAATAGCTTAAATTTTCTCTCCTAGAAGCCCTTTAGGACTATACAACCTAGCTGTACATCTTGTCTTGCTTTGCAGCTTGATATTACTGCTGATACCGATATTATTGTTTGTAGCTGAACCCTTTGCTATCAGATGATTCCATTCGCAAGTTTTCCCTTTTTTCACAGCAGGGGTTAAATATAATCTTCTTGATTATGGTATAATACAGGTAATCTAAGTGCTATTGCTATTGTAACATCAAACAGTCACTAAACAAATAGTTGTAAGTCAAGGACTACCTACCCTGTCTCTCCCTGCCTTTGGTAGGCAACCCTAGTAAGCATTTGGGGGTCTAATCGAAAAGAACAAGAAAGCACCAAGTTACTTAACGTATTTTTCAGAGTACATAAGACGCATCAAGGTTTTGAAGAGGAAAATTTTAAAAAAAGGTTTTGCACTCCGCAAACCTCCCAAAAACGGCCTGTTTTTCATGAAAACGGGTCTGTTTTTTGTTTTCAAAAAAGGGCACGAATAGCCCTTAGGCGGCTTGTAGAGTGCTGGGGGGGGGGCAAAAACAAGCAAAACACGGCCCGTTTTGCATCAAAAAAGGGCATGGATAGCCTTTAGGAAGCTTATAAAGCACTGCTTAGAGTTGCGGGGGGGGGGGCAAAAACCGGGCCATTTTTCACTCATTTCTGTTCTCCCCAGCCCCCAGGAGTTCTCTGAAAGCCTTCTAAAAGCTATACACGACCATTTTGGTGAAGGGGGACGAGTTTCGGGAGGCAAAAAATGCTCTATTCAGTGTATGACGCACCCAGATTTTCAGCCTCTTTTTTGAGGGAAAAAGGTGTGTCTTATACAGTATCTTATTCTCAGGTCAACAGCATTCTCCCATTCAGCTAGGGTAAATTCTGTTATCAGTCTTTATAACTTTTGGCACATCGGGGGCTGTAAAGGACTGGCTAATGATAACATTTTTTTAAAACAAAATCATCACACCCTCCCACAGAAACAGGCCACACATCTGCAGTATAAAATGGGCTTGCTAATAGAAAATTAAAGCATGTGTCAGGGTCCTAAGAAGAGAAACTGATACTATCTTGTCACAGCATGCTGATGGCAGCATAATCCACCCATCATTATTTCTTCTCTGTGGGTTTCTGCAAACTGGATTTTGCCTATAATCAGCTCAGTGTCAGCGAAGCCCTCTCCTTCGCCCATTTCCTCTCTCTCAAATGCTATTGGTTTAAATCTGGGTTCTCACCAAATGTACAGTACACCGCACCCATTGAAAGTGCTCTTTTTCAACAATATGCTTTTTAAAAGGGTTCTTTTGGGTGTAGGGATGTAAGCTAGTACAGCAGGTATCCTAGAGGAAATTACAGTCTGAAATTCTATGACTGCCTTGGTCCACCTGCCATTAAGAGACGATGGTGTTGTCTTCTCACAGGACCCAGAACAGCTACAAAGATACATACAGGAGTTGCACAAAGCAGGAGAACCATTTGATTTAAAAACAAACTTGAAAAAAGAGCCAGGTTATGTTTAATAAATTCACAAAAGAAAGAAAAAGCATATATCTGGAGAAGAACTAGATGTAGCAGACCACTACATACCGTATTTTTTGGAGTATAAGGCACACCTTTTTCCCTCAAAAAAAGAGGGTGAAAATTTGGGTGTATCTTATACACTGAATACAGCATTTTTGGCCTCCTGAAGCCCCGCCCCCTTTGCAAAAATGGTCGTGCATAGTTTTAGGAGGCTTTCAGAGAGCTGGGGACTGGGGAGGGCAAAAATGAGTGAAAAACAGGCCATTTTTCGCTCATTTC